GGTTGAAGATAGCTTGCTCGGAAACCAAGCAGATTGAGCATATTTTCAAGGAATATTCCCAAGAATCTTCGAGTGGAATAAGATATGAAATCCCATCCGTGGAAATAGGAACCACTTCCAGCAGTTCAGCCATTGAGGAAGACCGATTCAAACGTTGAAGTAACAGACCTGAAGACGTGGAGAAGAAATAGGAGCAGCTTTGGCCCCATTTCTAGGAATTGAGGGAAAGAGCCGATGGAGGTCCTTTGGATACTTTGCTAGTTTATAAATATAGGCACGTTCATTGTAAAGGGCATCAAAAAGATAAGAGCCTTATTACTAAGCATAATCATAGAATTCTAGTCGTATTATTATCTCAATTAACAATCTGTAACCTACATTGTAATCTGTTCAACCGAAATACTTAGTGGATTGGTGGACTCCTAGCCACCCGCAGTTTTTACTCTTGTTCTTGGGGTTTTCTGCGTCATCATCTTGTGTGTCTTCTCCCTCATTTTCTTTTGTTCATTTCGTAGATCTAAATTCAGCAATTTCCATCGCTCAATCTAGCTGTAGTTATCGCAACCCAGGTCGAACCTGGTATTTCAGTTTTTTGACCAAAACACCTACTATATAGCAAATCGTTACAAAAGTACATCAATATCTAACTAATTTTGTATTAATAATACATTTTAAAATTTGACATACAGATTTAAAATTCATCTTAAAATTCAATAAACAATCCGGGTATCACACGAGACAAAAAACTAGTAAAGTTATAAAGTAAAATTGACCATTTTTACACGTACTTGATGATTGAATATCAAGAATAAACTCGGTTTTCAGTTTAAATACATCAATTGATAATAAATTATAATAATGCTCTAGTTCAAGATCGAAATACATGCTTGGTGTCTTTTTTAGTAGCAAGGGTTTGATTCTCATGGAACCTAATGTTGTAGTACGATTGTACCCGACTAATAAAAAACAAAAGTGTGTAGGATAACTTGGGCATTCCAAGTATGCTCAAGTTCCACCGCTAAGAGCCTAAGATAGTCATCGATCTTAGTTATTTGGATAAAGTTGGGCACATGCACATTTCCACAAAACTATCATTTCCTATATACGCGTTCGTGTCATACTCACCAGCACCATACCCTATGTATCTACACCATGTAGTCTATTTTTCCGTTTCAAATTATGAAAATTGTTAGTAATCGCTACTTCCTTTGTGAATTATGAAAATTATTGATTAATTTTTTATGGGTAATGCTGTATGTAATCCTAAAGGTTATATATATAAGCATAAATATACTCTTGAAAATTGTATAAAATTAGAAATTTATGACAAAAACACACGTAAATCAGTGTAATTAGTGTTTATATTTTCTTGATTTTTTAACTTTTTACGATTTTCAAGTGTAAATTTAATGCTTGAGGTTGTTTTGTGATTATGTGATTCTTCTCTAATTTCGCTTTTTCTTTTTTAAAAATTATTTTTAATTAAGTTGATCAAACTATCGGGCTTTTTTGACATTGAATGATTTAAACTTACATAACATTTTGGAATTTCGACGCTACTTCGCTTAGTAAATTATGAAAAATATATTTTGTTTTAATTATTAAGTGGTTCACTTTGATTTACTCTGTTTATGAGTTTCTCTCACTCGCATTTCATGTTTACTTGAAGATGGATTGAATTTGTAGAGTAGCAGCGAAATCGTAGCTTTAAATTTTGTCGACGTAATCGCTTTGATTTTTGCTGCGAAATAGTCATTTTATCTTTATTATTTGAGTGTATTTGAAATACACTCTTTGTTATGTCTCCACTAACAACAAAACTCCAATAAACTTAGATTGAAATGCGTGAATCTAAACTGGATTGTTCTTTCTTACTCTTCTTATGGTTAATATTATCGTGTTTAATGTTTAATCATACTTGAAGTACTATGCATCGATCTGTTCTATCTTCTCCCATAGTACTCGATGGCTTCATCAACGACGCAGGATCCTCTCACTGATATCAGGATCAATCAACTGTTGCAATTTCCTGAACATGAAGTTAAAAAGTACCGCGCAGGAGTCAGGTTTCATCCCTCCCACGTGGAGTTACTCTCCTATTTGAAACTCTACAAGTTAAAATCCGGCAGCATTCCAACGAGATCGAATATTCCCATTCTTTGATCGGAGCTTAACCAATATCAATCCCACCAAAATCCGTGGTATTCAAGGGCGAAGGGACGGGGGGCTGGTGGAGGCCCGGCCTAGATTTGTGGCCCTTGATTATTAACTCTTGCCCCCCTTAAAGTTATTATTTATAGTAATGAAGACACAAATAATACAACAAATGAAGCTTGTGATATTTGTTAGGCAGTGATTTTTTTTCCCAAGGAGTCTGGGTTCGAATCCCACCCCTCACTTGGTTTTTTGATAAAGTTTCTTATTACTTAAGCTACAAGCCTACAAGTCTGTGGTTTTGTCTCACTCTTTTTGTAGTATGAGTGACTGGTGAGAGCACTGTATTGATAATTTTGGGTAGGAAATGGTGAGTTTAATTATCATGTGTTGGGTTATGTGGGGCGCAATGAACAAATGAATGATTGAGGGTGAAAATCCGAATGTTGAACAAATTGCTGCCTATGCTTTGAAGATTAATACGAAGGGGCGTGAGGTGGCAAAGTTGAATAACAAGGGGACTTGATGGTTGGAAAGAGTGTCTTTGTGGGTGGGTCTCCTTCGGCATTTGATGTGGTTAAAGTTATTGTTGATGATGGTGTTTTGGGGGAGATGGGGTTGGGTGCCGTTTACAGGAATAGTGAGGGGGTGGTGCTTTGGGGGAGCTACGGTGTAGTGGAGTGAAAAATGAGAGACTAAGTTTGCAGAGGTGAAAGCGGAATTTTAGGGCATGAAGATTGCGAGACACAAGGATATGAGTTGCATTGAGATCGAGAGTGATAATCTGGTGGTGATTGAGGCACTGAGGAAGCGTTTGTATGGCCCTAGTTCCTATCATCTGATTATAAAGGATATTCTAGAATTTTTTCTTCTTCTAATTTTAGTAGTGTTTCATGGTTTGTTGTAAAGCGAGGGGGTAATAATATAATACACAAATTAACTCACTTTCAACCATGGGAGTTTAGCCAACGGGTGTGGAGTGATGTAATCTCTCCTCGCATTTTGGAAATTTAGTTGATCTACTACCTCCGGTTCAATTTACTCACAACAAAGGAATATTTTATGTCTCACAAATAATACCCCTTTGTTGCAAGTAAATTGAACCGGAGGTAGTAGATGGTTTTTTTTTTTAATAAAAAAAAGTATTAAAGTTGTCACTTCCATATTTCAAAAAAAAAAAAAAAAAAAAAAATTGTCACTTCCAAATTTATTCACTAACAATTTTCGTTTTACACAAAACACTAACCAGCTTATACAATTAACTAAGTGAATTCTACACTTGCTAGTCTGCAATTGCATTTATAATAAAATGTAGGTGACCGTCAACTGATGTTAAAACCGCAAAGGTAACACTACCTATACAATTGTATAATTCACACTTCACACGACATTATTAGTTTGCCATAATAGCCATGACAAAACAGACATCCTAACCACATTTCTTTGAGGAAAACTCATCCTAAACACATGATAAATTGTGATTGACTTATGTTACCATACTTTCTTTTCGTTTATTGTAAACTCAGTTTAATTAATGTAATTTTAGTCGTTTTCAATTTTTTTAAGAAAAAAAACAAAAAAAAACTTGCAAACTATTTATACAAGGTTTTTTTTTTTACAAGACAAAATTATACTCCCTCACTCCCTTTAGTACACTAGGGCAGCTAACGCACGCGATACGTGCGGAGTGGCTTGCCCTTTCTTGATGTTTATATTGGGTTGTATTTTTACACTTTACGACATTGGGTTTTAGAGTAAATAGTTTAATAAATTAGTGAAATGTGTATATTGGGTTGTGTTTAAACTTTTCATTTTTCATGCACAACTTTTTTTTTCCAGGAAACATCTATGCAACTATTCAATAATACAATATTGCAAATTTGCAATATAGGTGACCTTTAAATTTACCTATAATATATTTACCTATAACCGTAAGGAGAGGGATAGCTCAACACTCATTATTACATCTGTACACATAGGACATAAATGTAAGAAATTAAATATGGGAGTAATAACGTAAACAAACACTTTGAAGGGCAAATAAGTCCGTACACTATTTATAAGCGCAATCTCCTACTTTTTATAAGGTAGAGATGCCTATTTCTCATTTTGCACGGAAATTAAGAAAGTTAAAGATTCCTTAAAATTAATAATTGGGTGTATAAATATACATGTGGGGTCAGAAAGAGATAGAGAGAATAAAAAAGTGGTTGGGAATGAGGATATAGAAAGTATTGGAAATTGATATTAAAGTACAACATAAAAAAGGAAAAAGGGTGATAAATCATCAAAAAAGAATAATATTGTAAAAAGGTACAATTTATAAATATAAACTGACACTTAATTTGATGACCCAAAAAAGAAACAGAAATGTAATAAAGATACGGAGGGAGTACAAGCTTTGACGTGTTATGATAATATTTGGGAAAAGGAAGTGTAAATTTAAACTAATACTCCATATTCCGTACTTTTTAAAAAAAGGTTTACTCTAAACCCTTAAAAGGTGTGCGTTATCATCATATCAAATATCTCTGAAGTTATGAGATCGATAATGGAATCAAATATCCCTATAATTATGAATCAAATTGTACTGCACAACACTTTAATGTTAGGATTTAACTATGAAATCAGAGCTCTTTTCCCTCCTACCTTGCCTCAGGGACGGCCTGTCTGTATGATGGAGATAGGATTGCTGGTACAATCAGGAAAGTGGAGAAGATTACCAGTGCTCACGCACAGAAGTGGCAGCCATGGATGGTGGAGGAGTACGTTATCCGAGCATAAGTGCATAACCTCACTCCACCTCTGCTTGTAATGGTATCTCTAAAATATCAAAAAGTAGAAACTGAACAATAGTTTCTTCCTTGTAATAAACCTGAGAACTTGAGAAGATTTAAGTTTAAGTTACAATCATCATGAGAGAGATTAACATCCGAAATGATTAAAAAAAAAAGTAAAACGAAAAACAAACTCATATTTATCATGTAAAAATCTATTTATGCAATCACAACATCAAGTGAACTACTTGCACCAAACTGACTACACCCACTAGAAGATTTGCACTTCCCAGTCCTACAATTTGAAGCTGGTCTCTTACAACATCCACCCTTAATCGCGCTATCCATTTTCTCCGGTGTCCCTTCCAACTTAGCAGTACAAGTTTTCTTAGCACAACAACCTTTTTTCAGCTCCTCTGCCTTCTCACTACTCTGCTGAATTGCCTTTTTGCTAACTGAACTTTGGCACTTAACTTCTCCCTTGGCAGTTTTATCACAACAAGACTTATTCTGAACAATGTTAGTACTCGGCTTCTTGTACTCGTCAGCCCCTCGTAGAAGCAGCATACTGTTGAGTATTACAAGCAGGCATGTACCAACATCGGTCACTACAGCAACTAAGAGCATTGAGTAGCCAGCAATGGCTAATGCAAGGACTAATCCCTTTGTCGAAAATGATATGATCACATTCTCAACGATTTTTGTAGATGCTTTCTTTGATATTCTAATTGCTTCTGGTATCTTTCTGATGTCATTGGACATCAGAATTACATGTCCTGTCTCCATTGCGAGTGCAGAACCTGATATCCCCATTGATATTCCGATATCAGTTGTTGCTAAAGCGAGTGCATCGTTTATTCCATCTCCTACCATTGCTACTACTCCATCCTTCTTCAATTCCTCAATGATTTTAGCCTTGTCTTCTGGTAGTAACTGCGGGTGAACTATGTCAAGCGCGTTCTCTAACTGCATACAATTAATCTTTGTCATTAAGAAAATTCTTGCAATTCAAACAAACAAAAAAAATACTAGATTAACAATAGGAAAATTTGTTTGAAAAGGACTAATATATTCACTATTTTGTATGGAAGGACCTTTTATGTTGAAAGTTGTCTGAAAGGACCTTATAAGTATGTTTTGATGTTTATAAAGACCTTGACATCGGAATCCGGCGTTTAACTTTGATTCTCCGGCGTTGACCCCCACGTGCATGCCACGTGACACTAAAAAAATTACCCTCTCCTTTTTTTTCCCGTTTTCCCTCCAACCCCAGTCTTCAAAACACTAGCAAAGTCAAACACCGGATTCCAATGTTAAGGGGAAAAAAGGGAGAAGGTATTTTTTTTTTAATGCCATGTGACATACACGTGGGGTGTCAATGCCGAAGAATCAAAATCAAATGCCGAATTCCTATGTCAAGATCCTTCCAAACAACAAAACATACTTATAAGGTCCTTTTAAACAACTTTCATCATATAAGGTCTTTCCAAAAAAAATAGTGGATATATAAATCCTTTCCAGACAAATTTTCCTTAACAATATGCTTACTTGTACATACCTGATGTTGCACCTGTTGTGCTGCAGCATGATTATCACCAGTTAGCATAACTGTTCTAATCCCTGATTCCTTTAGCTCTTTGATTGCTTCCATGGCTCCTGACCGACAGTTGTCGGATAGAGCAAAGGTTCCAACCAGAGTTGCTCCCATGTATATAAATCCACTCGCTTTTTCTTCCATCTTATGCAACTCATTGTCATATTCTGAAAATAAGCAGCAGCAAAATCTGTGATTAGACAACAGTGTTCTGTAGATTATAGTTTAATCTAAGTTGTTTCGACTTCAATAAAAAAAATAAAATCGCGCTCACTTTCTGTACATCCTGCTCTTAGAGCGATTCTATAATTCCCAATGTATATATGTTCACCCTCAATTTTTCCATATATCCCTTCTCCTGGATAGTTTTGGAATTCCTCCACCTTTTCAGGAATTGGCTTAATGGAATGTGATGCAGCATAGTTGACAAGTGCCGCTGCCATTGGATGGCTCGATTTACTCTCAATACTCGAAATCCTGACAATATTTAAATAAATCAGCAATGAAAAGAAGAAAGTGATTACTACTAGTTCAATGCATAGGACTAGAAACTAACCAGAAGAGTAACTTCTCAATGCTAACTGTTTCGTTTAGAGACTGAAAGTGTGTGACAGAAAATTCTCCTGTTGTGATTGTCCCGGTTTTATCAAAGGCGACAGTCTTAACTTTAGCAAGAAGCTCAAGGTAATCTCCACCTTTGAAGAGAAGCCCTGCTGTTGCGGCTTTTGAAAGAGCGCAGAAAATTGTGACTGGTGTAGAGATTACTAGTGCACAAGGACAAGCACTCACCAATACAACCAAGGCTAGATGAAACCAGCGCGTTTTATCACTACTTTGTAAAACAATTGGAGTTACAGCAACACCAGATGATATCAGAACAACAACTGCAAAACAACAAAGTAGAAATAATGAGAAGTTAAAATTGAAAATTCTCTAACTAACAGGACACAAAACATTGTTGATGTGTTAGATTTGATCTGTTACTTACCAGGAATGTACCATTTTGTACAATCCTCAATAAATGTCTGGATTCTAGCTTTCCTACTCTGAGCCTCTTCTACAAGATTCACCATCCTTGCCACTAAACAGTTTTCGGCTAACATTGTAGTTCTTACACCGATATAGCCTAGAGACATTTCAACAGGTAACCAACAAAGTTAAGAAATAACGAAACTAATCTAAAACAAACTACCTAAACGTCTCAAATGTTCACTCCTAAAACAACACAAAAAAGTGTATGTCAATTTAAATGATACTAAATAACAAGTGTTAAACTAACCATTTAAATTGATAGTGCCAGCCAAAGCAGTAGAGCCAATTTCTTTGATGACAGGAAAAGATTCACCAGTCAATGCCTTTTCATCCACTTCAGATTTACCCTCCACAACAACTCCATCAATAGGAATAACCTCGCCTGCTTTAACTGCGATAATGGTTCCTAGATTCACACTTGTGACATCAACTTGTTTACCAGAATCAGCCAGTGTTGCTTTCAGGGGCGTCATGCTTGTCAGAGATGACATTACAGACATAGCCTACTTAATTTCAACACAAATGTATACAACTCAACTCAATAACTTGTATAATTTAAAAGGTATTAAAAAAAATTCATATATAGGAGCAAAACCATACCTTGTAACTAGCTCTTGACTCGAGCCACTGAGCTATATTGTACAAGAAGACGATTATAGCTGCATCAGTGTAATCTTGCAGAGCTATTGTTCCTCCAACTAGAAAGTACAAAACAATATAAGCTCATAAATGGATGTGACATGAGGTTTAATTTTCTTGTCCCAAAACTCGATCCATGTTAGTGCTACATGCCATTTTACAAGAAGCAAGAGGTAATTAAAAGATGAGCTAATTACCTGCAATTAAAACAATGACATTAATATTGAGTGTCAGATTTCTGATAGATGCAATGCTTCTCCAAATAATGTTCGGAACTCCAATAAGGACAGCCACAATGGCTAACCATTGCATTGGTTGATACACATATTTCAACAATGACAACAGAAGCAATACACCACAAGTTATGTTCCACTTCCCTGGCCATTTCTTGGTGTAGTTGGCTTCTCCTCGAGGTCGAACACTTGCTTCTAGTCGTGCTTGATTCAATGCTTGTACTGAAACACCCAATACCGATAAAAGGGAGGAGAGGTGTTAGGAGATGATCGATGATCATACATTCATACTAGCTAACTACATATTTTGTGTATTGGGACAGATCGAGGGAGTAAGATTATGTTCTATTCGACTTATATATGATACATTAAGTTTAGACGAAATAATATGTAACATAACTTATATTCTTATACGTAGTACTATTTACATTTAATATGCGTTTCTAAACCTTATAAGATTAAAACCAAGGACAAAGAGAACAAATTTACACATACTTAGGATCTGTTCCCTTTAGATTATTTTCAGTTCACTTCAGTTCAGTCAATCAAAACAACCGTACCATTTACACCAAGGAATTGAAAAGGACCATGAAAAAGAGGAAAATCATAATGATATAAGGGGAAGGCTGCACCTAATGATTTGTGTTTTACAATATTAAGTATAATACAAAGTACACAGTATAATATATTAAATATATTATGATAACGACCTATGACATATTGACAACAACATTAATTATAAAATACAAACAAGCTCAACTGTTATTTAAAAGAAGCTGACCATAATATAGACTATATAGTATACAAATAAATCCAAAGTGTCAGTCTATCTAGTAATTTTTTTAGTCAATATTTTTGTATCGAATCAAATACTGAAAATATTAATATACCTATTTATCCAATATTTAAGTGCATGTATAAATCTTATACATATGACAACAATTAAGGAGAAATGAAATATGAAGTTTATGTAGCCAGGCATTGTCTGAGGCCGTCTCTAGTTAAAAGTTTTTTAAAAAAATGTCCACTAGTGCTACAAAAATCAACACTAAAATTGAACTTATATGACCAAAAAAAACATTTGGTCAGAACGTTTGACACAAGAGCTACTAATTGGAGTTCATGTCATATAAATTAAATCCAAATATATTGAAAAGTGGACTTTTACTCCATCCAATTAGTAATAAATTTATTTTCTAAACGAAAAATATAGGAAGAATCAAGACTACTTCATCACTTCGGCCCTCTTTTCTTCGAAAAAAAAAAAACATTAAGAAAAATCACTTTTATTTAAAACACATTTTCAAAATTCATTCAAATACTTATAATTTATTTACTCGTAGTACATCATAGAATAACAGAAGAATTATTAGAAAAAACTTAATATTAATATCATCATCATAATTAGATGATTAATACGGAGTAATTAATAATTAAAATTAGCAATCTTTATATATATATCCTTGCAAATGAAAATAAAAAATACATACCAATTTGAGAAGGAGAAATAATGCGAATATCATGGACAACCGTCAAAGTCTTGGTAGGAACAACAACAGAAATGTCCTTGACACCATTTAAAGGTTTAACAATTGACTCAATCAATGGAACTTCTGATGAACAACACAATCCCATTATCTCAAAATAGCTTTTCTCCAACTTCACATCTTCTTCTTGTATTGTTTGTTCCTGTATTGATTCGCGGGTTCAACAAGTTTCAATCAAGTCGTCACTTATTTACATAATCCCCAAATCATAAATTTTTAAAACTCGTGAACATACAATAACATAGACAAGTTACAAGGATGGGATACTTGATCTAAGTATATATGGTGTCATTCTCTGCAATCGTTAAAGTGTATCTCAATTGTTAATCTTAAGTGATCTGATTGTGTTAGTCTATAATATTTGATAGATAATACATTAATACATTGATCTATATACTTCCTTTGTTTCTAAATACATGATATTCTCACAAGCATAAAGGATTCATTTATTTGGTTGGATTATTTTTGCTATTTAAATTAGGGTTTCGATCAACTTTTTGCATACATGCAATTGTTTTCCTACTAATTAAGCACCCTCCTTTTATTTAATTAATTGCTTATTGATTATTGTTAGATGGGAGATTGGAGAAGTTCCTATAACTTTAATTGGAAGTAGGGACTATATCATTAGAAGAGCCAAAAAAAATTCGTTGGGAATAAAAAAAATCTAATCTTTAAACATCAATTACATATTCTTATTGATTAAGTAACAAATGAGGACTAATTATCTGATGCAAGGGCCTAATATAACATGGTATGTGATAAAAACTCCATTACACTTCAATTAATTTAATTCATGTTAATTAAGGGATTGTTAAAGTATTTAATTTACCTTAGTAATAATTGATTTGGGGGTGCTTTCCAAGATAAGCTATGAAGCAAATGAAATCCATCTCTTTGCCTAGATGTAATTTCCCGATCAATTGATCTGAAACGTTTTAGAAACAAAACATAATCAACAACAACATCAAGAACTCTGAAATTATTAATTTAAAAAAAATTTGTCAAAGAATGAATTTATGCACAGTTTAGGCAAAGGTTAAAAAGTATAAATTATATAGTTTTAATAATTCTTATAAAAAGTTGAGCATTAAATAAAAGCCAAAATGCTCCATATTAGCTCTATCAAATACTAGCTAGCTTAATTAGTACACGGCTAGGGCTACATCAAACATAAATATACATATATTGTATCGATAAAAATATAAGTATATTAGCTTACATGAAACTAAAGCTAGGTAAATCTTTCATAATTCATCATATATAAAATTGATGAGTTTAGATTTTGCCTAAAGATCATCAACACTCTTTAGCTAGAATGCCAACATGAAAGTATGTTTAATCAAGCTGCCGGCGCTACATCATCACCATCATCGTCATCATCATCATCATTCTCATGCGGCCTCATCGTGGCAAGGATGCTGAGCTTCGGCTGATCATCATCACCATAGATTGTACCAAAAGTAGACATGTTTTTAGATAAAAATAAAAAATGATAAGTATCAAAATATAATTGATATTATAAAATAATGATAAATGTAGTTGATGATGAATTATATTTTTATTTATGCATCTTATATTTATAATACAAGAAAGAATAATAGTTATTGGAAAATCTAGCAAGTGTCTTTTTAGTGATGTCGTTGTAAGTTGAGATATTGTTTCAACTTTATTAAGATTTGAGTATGTGATGCAAAATGTAACAAGGTGGAAAAATTAGGGCACATAAAAACATACGTGCCAATAACTTTAGGGTCAAGTGGCACGTGGGCCAGAGGCATTGGTGAGCTTATGTTAGGAGCCTGTTATGCACGAACCACACGTGCTAGCAACAGTCCATGCACACTCCCATGCAACTTTGTTACGTGTTTTTCATGAGGATTTGGCTAGTCAACTTCTTTCAAACTAAATTCAACTTTTGGTCACCACACTTTGCTTTTGTTGCAATAAAGTTATAGATATAGAATGACTTAACATTTGATCTTTGTTTCTTTAGTCCTTTTTCTTTTGTTGGAGGTTATTATGATCTCTATATACGTACGTATACTAGTCTTTAACGTGACCCTCTTAAAATATTTGTTAGCTATTTTTTAATCTCTAATTTGCTCTAAATATTTCTTATGGTTCTTCTCTTTAATCCCTAATTAACTCGCTAGCACAAATCAAACATAAAAACGAAATTTAATAATTGTGATTTGATTAGGGGTTAATGCAAGAGAAAAAGAATAGAGTTAACCAAGGATGATTAGGTAACGAATTTACAAACATTAGGCATTACGAGTATGGTGTCTGCTAGTTCATTATTCATTCTTGCAAAATTAAACGATATGAGGTTTATGATTTTGGTCATAAAAATTAAATTTGAATCATACTACTCGTATTTGTTTTTATCGGCTACATGATAAACACAATTGTTATCCAAGTTTAGTGTATACTTTTTTAATACTAGCAGTAAACACAGTTGTCTGGTCCATTTAAAGGAACAAGCCTAAGATCGTCGATACAGTATCACTCGATCATTCAGTCTATGCAGCAAGACAGTACAGACAACATCAAAAGGCCTTTGAAATTCAATATCAAAAGGCTCTCCGGGGTAATGTTAGTATTATTGGAATAAAATTTAGGCCTTTAAAACTCATGTCTAATAGGAGGAATTCTTGAAATCTAACTGTTAGAGTCATTTATGACTCTTACAGCACACATTCGTATTTTACATGATACCAACAACAATTTATATCGATACCAACAAAACAATTTTATGTTCATTGGTATCATTTAATAAGGTGGTTGGTATCATGGTGATACTATCTAAAGTATAATGAAATATCAACATGTGTTATGACATTATTTTTTTCAAGTACGGTAAAAGTGAATGGACGATGATGCCCCTTGTTAGAGTCATAAATGACCTAACAGTTAGAGTCCTAGAATTCCTCTGTCTAATAGACTCTGCAAATTTAGATGTAACATCTATCTAAAATATAAACAAGCTAAGCATCTGGTGGACAAAATGAATTTGGGTTATCCAATTCCTTTGATAGTTGTTCATACATACCAAGGTACCATAGGAGTATTAGGAAACAAGAAACTCCTTAATTACTCCACATCCATACCCTTAAACACCTTCAACTCGCAAGGAACGGTATTTATCTTCAACTCTTGAATAACATTCTAAATTAATCAAAGTTATTCGTTGACAAACATAATGGTAAAGTTGCAAGTATAAATGAAAGTTTAACCAAAAAAAAGTATTAATGAAAGAATTGGGCAACGTGTATAATAATAGGACGGATGATCACTTCCGAAGATACAAGCAAATGAATAATCTATAGTAGTCTAAATTGATACTTAATATGTTACAAGTCTCAATTGCATTCTGAGCATAGTTTATATTTAGTGTTTACTCTCCCTTCAAAACTTGCTTGGACGATTATAATTACTGTACAAACCAAGCCAATCACCGATTCACCATCCCCTTCTTACGAAAAAAAAAAAGAGGAAAGAACTAAAGAAGAGACCTGTGATTGAGGTATAGACATCCTTCCAACTCAATAGAAACTGGAACAGTGAGAAATTTACAGCTGCCCGAATACTCAAAGGGTTAATCCTGCCCATAATGAGGGCTACCCCAGACATCATCAAGCATCAGACTACCTGAAAAGAGGCTGACAGTAGCACTCCTTACTCCACAACAATATAATCAGAAGCCACTGCATGATCCCAGGATCAGTATAGCTGGGAAGAAATGTCATGGTTATCAATTACGATTAAATTCACAAACTGTATCACGATAGTATTTTAAACATAGCTCTTTAATTAAAAGAAATGAAGGACATGTACCACAGATATTTACAGTTCCTGTTATGACATTAGTACTTCTTGAGAGTCCATTGGAGAGGCCCAATACCGCAATAATGATTCTATAGTCAGCCTCCTAGATGTGCTGAGCATAGAGATGAAAAATCTGCAGCCATCAATTTTGTATTCCTCCAGTGGATTTCTGTGCCCAAAACTTCTCACATTCACCTGCATGTTGTATGAATGAGCCTTGCTCTAATAGTAACAAAATATCGATAATGACCAGGAAAAGCTAATAAGGGTACCGCTGAGCTAAGCCTGTTCATATTGACAAGATGATCCCTCCATAAACAATCGAGAGTCTTGATTAGTACTGCCCTCTGCATTTTAGAAACAAACAGATGTAAAAGAAACTCCAATATGACTTGTAACAAGCCAGTGGGTAATACTCGCAATATAGTGACTGCATGAAGAAAAAGCACTTCCAAATTTGTATTTTGTGAATGCACATCTTGATCCTCAGAAATGAGCAGAGACAAACAAAAGAAAACTGTAACAAGTCTACAATCTACAATCTACATCTACAATTGGTATTTAAAAACTCTAACCAAGAAAGACACATGTTCCCATTCTATTACATTTCTCTATCTTCTTCTCTAACTTAAGTGCCACATGTCTTCTTACATTATTAATTTTTTATTAAACTATTTTTCTTTAATTCTTTCATTAAACTTATATTTTATCTTCCGTGCACACTTCATCTCCCATCTTCAATTCAAACTTTTCCTTTTCTCTCTTTGATTTTAGCCTCTTCACCTTATTTATAAAATCCTCATTCTAATTAAGTTCCAAAAATTAATTTCTTAAATCATGTTTCCGATTAAACATTACAACTATAAAGACTCATTGATATTTCCTCATTCATCTTTCAATGCAATTTTCTATGAATAACTCGTGCATTGCATAGGCCACAAAACTAGTTGAATTTATAAAAGTTATCCGCTTGTTCAGGCAGTCAGATCAAGATAATCAGTTTTTAATTTTCTCCGACACTGAAGAAAACTTCAGGAGTCTTACAGTAGTTGGTAGTAAACCTTTAGTTTGAAAAAAATTAAAAAATTTTAAAATAAATAATTTTTTTTAAAAAAAAGGCAGAAGATCACAAAAGAAGATATCTTTCTTTGATATTTTCATCACGTATGACATCCCAAATTGGCCAAATGATATACTGTAGTACATGTCCTCTTCTTTTCTTTTCTTCTATACATCCCAAGTTATGCATGGTTAGACAAAAAAAAAAAAAAAAAAAAAAAAAAAAAAAAAAAAAAAAAAAAAAGCACAGTTGGAAACATATAAAGATTAACAAAAAAAAAAAAAAAAGGAAGATGTTAAAGATATTACTGCAATTGACTGAACCTCAAATAATAGTTGCACATATGAATTGGCCCATTAACCAGGAAAAAAATTATAAGAAATAAACAAATATATAACCCTGACACATAAATATAAATAATAATGGATGATTCAACTACCACAGAAACTGAAATGGTAATGCCCATGCAGAATACGTCAATACGAGTAAATTACCTCAATTTCCTTCACATATGTATCATCGAAACCAGAATCTTCAATGGCATCAAGATATGAAGCGATCAGGAAATCTCCTAGGTAATGACGCAAGAAATTGATGCTCACTCGGTATTTTCCATCCCTGCACAAATCAGAACAAAGTATTACACTAAGACCAAAATCATAAAAATAAAGTAATTTTTTTGTAAAAAAAGTATGCACTGATATCATAAACCAGTAGATGCACTCACGTAATTGAGTCATCAGCACATATGGTAAGCCATCGCTTGAAGGAAGAAGTCTTCTTTCGAATTCCTTTGAAAGCGTTCGGAGGTCTTGGCAAGTTGTCAGGCAAAAAACCATTGAAATCTGTAGGAGCTGATGCATCTAGTTGGGAGAGGGACTCCAAAAGTACATCCTCTGTGATTCCTGCAAATGACTCTGAAAAAGGCCCAGCAGATAGGAACTTAAGCATCATGGGAAACATGGAAACAATTGTGAACCATGGGCAAAAATCAAACAATAATAAATTTAAGATAAGCTCACCATCCAACAGCTCTCCCCCCACATTAGCCAACTCCTTTAAGATATTTCTCAACTTCCAGTCACGAGGATGCTATCCAAACATAAATCAAGAAAGAAAAAAGGTTAAACTAGGACAAAGTCTTCATTCCATTGGTAAACCTTAAACACTAATGATTATTAGGTCACAGTTGCATAAACCCAAATTGAGGGAAATATCAGATTAGTTTGAAGCATTAAAAACCAAATTGACCAGAGGTAGTGAGTCCAAAAATTTGGAGAGGATTGGAAAAACTGTAAATATACACATATAAATTACCTTTTGAGAATCAACACTGCCTAGTACTATTTTGTCCACAACAGCTTGCATGTACCTGTAATCAACATTGCCACCACAGGGATTAAGGGTGCGGAATCATAAAAATAACAGATACGGAAGCAACTCGACAGAATTGCGATCACCAACAGATATTATCAAATACAATGTACAAAAGTAATACTAGAAGAGCATCAAAGCTATAGCAACCTAAGACTTATATAGATAAATTATAATAAAAGGCCATTTCAATTGGTAAAAGTTCTAGCAAGTAAAATCACTTTTAATCAGTAGAAAATAATTTGATAAAAATTAGAAAAAAAAGGTGAACAAA